TATAATTTCAAACTCACTGGTTTTTTTTTAAATCTTATTAATTCCTATTTTCCTTTATGAGAGGCTATTGTAGAATGGTTGTAGACAACAGAGTTGAAATACATACTTGCAAATACTTTTGGTTTTTAAGATGGACAGACCTTTCTCAATAAGGTGAAAGTTTTGTACATGGTTTGTCAGGTCTTAGGTGGTGAACAATAAGCATCCTTTGGAACTCCCCCGACTTGTCTTGCCACTCTGTAGGAAAATCCTAAATGCTGGGGATCTTAAAAACATGTATTTCAATGTTCTTTAAAGCATTTGTGAATTACCTGTAGTGAGAGTAAATTATCTTTTAACTTGACGCATCATTCCATGAAGTGTTTTCAGTTACAGCAATGAGGCTTGCATGCTTAAATCTTTTTTAAAAAAAAAAAACAACTTTAATTATAGGTTTATCTAAGAAACTTCTCTTAGAGAAGTTAGAATAATTTTTAAGTCTTCAAACAATAATAACTCAAAGTTCTGATCCAGAAAGTGAAGAAATGTTGTGGGGGAAATCTGAACATGCATTTACTTCCCTCTTTCTGTTAGAACTGTATTCTAGTGTCAGTCTTTAATATCATGATGATAACCACATAATCAATGACAAACACATCACAGTATTACATGGTAACTACGTGTTGAGTTGCAGCTGAATGCAGAAAATGATGGCAGGAAATTAAGAATCAGAAAATTAAAGTTCAACAATGCACCGGAGAACTTGGTTTGTAAATGGCCTGTGAACAATCCAGCTGTTACATTGTTATTGCAATTATCAGATTGGGAACAGCAGTTGTTGTGTGGCATTATTTGCCTTAAGTACAGTCCCAGCTAAGTATGCCTTTCTAGAAACTGGTACTGCAGCTCTGCTGGTGAGCTTCTTGAGCTTGCCTGTAGAGGGTTGGGCACAGAGCTATGCAGACAGACTTGCACAGGCTTCATTCTGAGTAATTTTGATTTAACAAGTTATGAAGGAGCTCATTTTCTGCCTAGGATCCTCCTTCCCCTGTTTCTAGGCACTTAGTTTCAGATTCAAATCCAAAATGCTGCATTCTTTTTATATTAAGATATGGGGGAAAATAGGTACCTCAGACTTACATCTGGAACAGCTGTTGAAGAGTTTAGCTAAAAATTTGCAAGCTTTATAGAAAATAGGGTGAATTAGGAAGCACTGAGGAGTGAATCAGGAAACCCTGAGGAGTGAAGTTTGCACTGAAGACTCCCTTGAGTTGTGCCACTGTGCCAAAAACTGTGCACTTCTCCATGAGGAGAGATGGATCAGTAGCTTTGGGATTAAGTCAGCCAGGCTGAGGAGAACTGAGTTTGCAGTCCCTGCTCCAAGATATGCAATGCAACTTTAAATAAAATACACAGAATCCTCGAAGCAGGGAGTTGAAGTCAGGACTCCCCTCCTTTTTGAAGCAGCTGTCTTACAAGAAGAGAAGGATATGTGTTTCTTTGAAAAACATTCATATTCATTATATGGCTGATGATGATAAAGTGGCTCAAGTAACTCTGATTTTGTGCCCTCTCTCAGACATGTAAACATCCATGAAACTGCCCTTTATTTAAATTTTTGCATCACTCACAAGACAGGAAAAAGAGCTGGTTGCATATTACTGGAGAGAAACTATACAAGTATAAAAAAGAAATAATTCAACTGTGAAAAAGGCATCTTCCCCAAGACCTGTTAACTAGCATTTCTGAAAATTCTAGTTGTATCCATGTGTAAGTGGTAGTATTAAAGCTAGATATATAATGAAAATGCTTTCACATAGCAAAAGGCATAGCAAATCTTCTACATCAGGAAGGTCTAGTAACTGTTCTTAGCTTCAGTGTTACTGTTTGAGTCTTTATCAGTTAACTGATTACATGATTCTATAGATCTTATTGAATGGCACTTAAATGAAGGACTTTCTATTAACTTCATTTTGTCTGTTTCAATGCACACATAGCTATTGCACGCACCTCCATTCCTTACTTCTGAAAGTCAGCACTTTTCAATTATTTTAGGTATTGCTTAAAAAAAGCTATAATCCCAGGATGCATAATGAAGTAGTTCCCTCCCTCAAGCTCTTTCAAATGCCATCATTCGTGTGTCCATTTTCCAAGTGACTGTTTCCCAAAGAAGAACTAAAGCCCTCAGCTTGCTGTATCTTTTTTGTAAATGCCCAAAGAAAGCTTTATCTTGGCTATTTGCCCATTTCCTGCAATCTGGACAAGTAAGGAGCTACAACTGCTTAGTTCCTTTAATGTGTCTCGTAGACTTATGAGTATTTCCAACCAAAAATCCATTCTATTCTCTCTGCATACTTTAAGCCCATTTTTTTAAACAGAAAGGATTTCTAAAGCCTTGATATTTACAATGCAATGAATAAAACACACGATATTTTTTTAAAGGATCTAAGAAGTCCTGGGTCACGAATTTCATCCCGTGATTTTGGAGGAAGCCGGGTACATGGATTAGGAAAAAGATTGTCCAAACCTATGCCTCAAGTCAACAGAAATTTCCAGTAATTCTCATTAAAGCAAAGTTGAAAATACTGCTCTCAGGACTAAATAAATAAAATCTAACGGGTTTAGTACAATATATAGTAAATCAATACATTTATCTGAATTCTTGCATTAGTTCAGAGAGCTTCTAGACAACTACTAAAAGCTTATTTCTAAAGTATTCAGTGTCTGTTTTTCAGTTAAACACGAATTTAAGGAATCAAAAAAAATAATATACGAGTCAATTTAAAGACTGCATTCCTGACTTGGGAAATGAACAGTTTTAACCAATGAGATTTTTAGACCAATTCTTGAAATCTAAAAATGTTGAAGGAAAAAACCTGGATGTATTTCAGTGAACCATGCATTTTTCAACCTGTTCCTATAATGCATATCTAAATATGAAAAAGAAATATCAGCCTATTAAATGTCTCTTTCTTCTCTCTAAGTTTCTTTAGTGGCTTGAATTTTTTAATCAGGTCCCTGGGAACGGGAGAACGGTGTCCCACAATTATTACTGTCAATTCTTGAAAGAAATGTGTTCTCCAATATAAAAATTTCCAAAGTTTCTAAAATTTTAAATCTTTCCATATTACACCAAAAGGAACAACTCCAAGCAACTGTAAGTACTGTTTTGGTTTAAATGATGTTTAGGAAAAAAATGTTTAGAAAAATTGTTATCATCTAGCTCAGTTTTGCCATACGTGTTAGTTATGTATTTATTTTATTCTACAGAATCTTTTTCTATGCTTATAATTGCTTATTAAAATTAAAATAAAACAGAAAAAATTAGGCATAAGTACTATAGTTATATATAAACTAATTTTTCTATTCTTATCCTGCATGTTCCTATTATTGACAGTTTGTATATTTCATTTGATATTATTTTTAATTATTGACTAATCTTACATATTTCAGGAGATTCACTGTTAGACGAAAAGAGAAGAGCAGCCTGTCCTTCTCAAAGAGAGAACAACAGACATTGACATAAAGCAAGTAGATAAAATGATCCTTGAGAATCTTCAGCCTACAGGTGTCAAAAAAAAACAACCTTCCATTAATATCACTTTAAAGAGTGTGCACTCTGAAGACCTATTAAGACTCATTTAGATCTCCTTTTTTCTAATAAACTCTCTGGTCAGTTACCCCAAAGCAATCATTAAATGCACGTACCATTTTGTGAGCAAAATAATGTAAAAAAAGCCATTTAAGTGCAGTTACATCTTGGTAGTACATGATTTTCAGAGGAAGTGAGGCTTCCCTCTTGAGAGGGACAGAAAAGAGCAGCAATTTTAAAATTCATTATGAATACCAGGGCCAAAATCAAGAGTCCATCTCCAAAGGTTACCTGAAATATGTTTCCCACTCTACAGAGTATTTTTCTTAATCCACTATAATACAAAAATATTCAAAGCAAGAGGCCATCTATTTTTTTATAAAGGTTTAAGTTTCAATACCTTGAATACCTCAGTAAGAATTTGCACAACTACTTCAAATACTTTTTTCAAGGTAGGAACAAAGGTGTGAAGAAGCGCTATGGCTTTTTCCCAGTTACCAAGGTCACCAGTCCCTTGGCAGAGAGCTACTTGGAGGACTATTCCTGTATTTCAGGCATGGTGATAATTCTGAAACCTAAATATGATTTATAATAGCTAAAAAGGGGAAAGTTTTTCTCAGAAGATCAAGAACAAGAGCACACTATGTTGTTTGATCTGTGTCTCCTTCTCAGTCTTGTGTTCAATCTATTTTCTTCTTCCATTCAGCTAACAAGAAATAGATCATTTTTAATATATAAATACTCCTGGTTTTTATTAGCATTAAGTCCTTTCAAAGTTACTGGTTCCTCATCAGTTAAATGGATATACATACTATTTATGCACAAAATACGGACACAAAGATGACTGAGGGACAAAATGTAAACTTTTTTCAAGTTACAGAAGTAACGTGGTTTCCATGAGACAAGAATGATTAAAAGGAAAAAATCTCAGCACAAAGCCTGTTGTAAAACAAGTCTGACTAGTGAAGATAGCCCAAGACAAACAGTCTTATGTGAATCATTAATTCACAGAGAATTTTCTGTGAGGGCAAAATTATCAAAATGGGCTTAAACCAATCATTCTCTGGGAATGCGTGTTGTCAGCTGGGATTCAAGTCCTGTATCTTCATATTTCTGCTGACAGAAAGGGTCTGAATCAAAATGAGATTATTTTATTTATTGCTTACTTTAATTTAGGCACACAGGCATATAGGGGTTTTTTGAGATATAAAATAGTAAGATTTAAAGTCAAAGAGCTAAGTTTATAAAACACCGATTGCCCTGTTGGTAAAAGCTACCTCAAAGGTACGTTCAAATATGATACCACAATATTAAGATCTGACTTAAATGATTACTAGCAGTAGCTTTAATTTAACAGTTATGCTAAACTTGGATTGCCCAGACCTTGCCTCTGACCCTAACTATACCACAGATAAAAAAGCTTATGTAGATTTTGCATTTAAGGTGATTATTATGTTAAGTCTTGTAAATATTGTCATAATAAAAGGTGACTAAATAGCATCAGGAGATCCAGACTGGGAAAGATGATAAAATTAATTAATTAATTAAATTCCTGACTATATGAAAGAATGACAGTATTGCAAGGTGAAGGATTTTGATATAAGAAACGTCAACACTTTTAAGATGATACCAGTTATCCAGCAGTGTAAAAAAAAGCGTTGGCAAGGAATGAGGAAAGAACAAATGCCAGAAACTCTTCCCTGGTTTTAGCCAAGGAACCATTTTAAAATTAAAATGTTGTTTTAACATTGTTAACGTTGTTTTAACAAGTTGCACATTTATTTTCAAAATTCGCACCTTAACAGATGTTTCAGGAAGAGAATGTGGATTTCCCAGCTTAGTTGTAATATAAAGTGGAATTCAGGAGCACACTCAAAGGTGCATTCTCCAAGGCAAAGGCTCCCTGACTACTTAAATGTCTGAGTAAAAGTGGCTTTAGGATAGGATCAAGTTCTTCTCCAATATTTTCCAGTAGCACTTCAAAATAACATAAGAATTAGTAGGACTTTCTTGGCTTTTATATTACTGATTGATTGTTCTTTACAAAACATATGAACAATGTTTATTTACGGTGTGCAAACAATAAAAATATTAACTGAGCAATATCTAGAGATAAGGAGAGTATTCAGGTGATTGAAAAATTAATCAAAGAAATTTACTTTTAATTTCTTTCTGTAATATGGTATAAATTTGCAAGAAAGCAACTAAAATGCTATCACTGTTACTGCTGCCAATGGCTTAGAACAGTAGTTTAGGGCTACCATTTCTAAAAAGCAAAATAACACCAAACTAAATGCCAAAGAAATCATTTTGGGTGATTAAGTCTGCTTCAGTTTTCACCATAAGCATATGAGAATGTCAAAATCAAGAAGGAAATAATGGAAAATAAACAATCCATCTCTACTTGAAGTCCAGTTAGCCTTTGAAAAATAGGTTGAATTGTAACTATGTGTTTCATTACTTTATTTCTCTTTGAGGTAATAAGAGTACTTGCAATAAAGATGCTACAGAGAACATGAAAATCATTAATGGTCACAGCCTAGCAATCTGGTATTTATACTCTTGAAAAGAAAAAATAACATTACTTTCTAGAAATAATATTATTCCAACCTGAAAACAAAGAAATGGCAATTCTCATAAAGCAATTAAAAGAAATAAATTAAACTGGGTATTATGTTGTGCTAAGAAGTATCTTATAACCTGGGGTGAGGGCTTCAATTGCTATAGTACTCATTTCATTCAAAAGAAGGGGGAAAAAAATTCTGTTTTCCTTAACTATAACATTTGATATTCAACAGTTTCATTTTTTAGCTAATTGTGCCCCCTCCAGGTCCTTCTGTAATTTACACTTTGAGTCATTAACCCTCCAGGGTTGCCAAACTGAATCAGTTTTCCAGTGTTGTAATAAACTGAGGGTCACTGAGTTTGATTATATGCAAACTATTAGCTTTTTCCATATCCTTTATTCATTTATTCTAAGGATCTATCATCAGAGGGCATTTCTTGCATTGCTGAAGGGAAAAATACAGACTTTCAAAATTGAAATATAAGCTTTTCAAATGTTTACCTCAAAGTACTTCTTAAGGCAATTTATTCCTTTTTGTCATTACAACAAAAGCGTGTCAGTGTGAAATCATAGCAGGCACATATTCACTATAATCCTTGATGAATTTAAGAGGAGGTAGATGAATCCTTAAGTTCTTTGTTTACCAAAACCAATCTTCCTCTTTCAAAGACTGTACCTAGAATAAGACTTACTTCCTAGAGAGTTTAATCACATTTAATTTTATAACTTTCAAAATAATAATAAGTTTTGAAACTTTGAACAGCTTTAATACAGTCATATGCATAAGTGAGCATTTTCAAGTGAAAACAAATGGAATTTTCCACTAATGAAAATGGATATTGTGGAAGAAAAACAGCACAAATTTAGCAGAAGAAGTTTTGGAAGAGAAATGCACCATGAGTGGCAGTAGCCTGAGATTATACACAGGATACTAGTTCCTTCTCCGTTATGGATCAGAACCTGTACATGGGAATGACCATTCACCACCTGAAGAAGGATGGCTTTCTTCCCCATTGTAGAATGATTTAGGAAAACAGGTCGTCTGAAAGGGGTCCTGTCCATCTTACCCACTATGGAAGAAAGCTTTCATGGGTAAAATGCATGGAGAGACTCAGGAAATACATTTGTAATCTACCAGGACAGCATGATGCCAAAGCAGATATGAAGAAAGTTAAAAGTGTGGGCTTTGTAAAGTTAAAAATATTTTGAATAATTTGATACACACAGATAAGGGAAAATATGGTAACGCAGTAGTTCTAGAGAAGCAAACGGAGCATCCAAAACCTGAGTGTCTGTCAGATGAGGCAGTAGCATCAGCAGTACTAGAAAGAAAATCTCACAGTAGGTAAGTGTTCATCAATGGATCAAAAGTGTACTGAAAGAATTGCTGGATTTCTAGGTGGTTCAGTCACTTATGAGGATCCAAAGGGAGACCCAAGGGATATATGGCCAGGTGTTTTTAAGCATAGGATGATACAAGGCAATGCAGCAATTGCAAACTGTAAACTGAACATATTAAACTTATGTGTTAAGCAGAGTCTAAACCAGACTATATTTATGTAGTTTTTCATAATAATTTTGCTTGCTCTTATTTTAAAACAGGAATTTAACATTTGAAAAGACCTCAGCTAAAACCTGCAGTATTTCTTTCTCCAATTACTTCAAAGTGTCAGTCACATGTTATTTTCAGCATATCCCACTTGAGACATACTGTGTAAGAGACATGAAATACTTAAAATTGAATAATTATAGTTCTCTAATAACAGCCAAACGCACACAGCTTTCATCTCTATAAAATTCTTCTTCATTGATGGCATTGCATAAGCAGTCCCTGTGTATGTTTGCAAATTATCCTTGGATTGCTCACTAATTGTGCTTTTTAGAAAATTTGTTGTTACAAAAAGCTTGAGTTGCATTCTGTATGATTCCTATGGTCCTAATATCTAGCCTTAAACTCGTAACTACAGGCATAATATGCAACATCAATTTGAGGTAGATTCTATCTCACCTTTCAAAATTAAGAGCTTTCATTATTTAGTTTTAAAATGCTAATCATCCTTCCATTAGTTCAAAAAGAATTTTGATCAAAGCTTTATAAAAGTTAAATGGTAGGATGTACTGTACAAGTGTTGAATTCATTAACACTTGTTGACTGTTCAGCCAGAGTGATTGAATTGTTAATACAGTAATTACTTGAAAAAAGTTACATATACAGTCATAATCCCAGCATATATCCTCTAACTTCAATAAGCCATTTTGCTTCCAGAAGCACAGTCAATGCTAATTTTGAATGTCAAATGAACATACATTGAGGCTTTTTAGCTAGGGCCTTATTTTTGTCTTACCTGTTTAATTTTGCACTTTGTCACCTATCCGGTTGCCAGAGCTGAAGTGTTATTCACACATCTCTACTTCCAAATGTTAAACTGTAATATACGATTTTGGTTATATGTGAAACCTACCATTCACTCTAGAGTAAAAGAGGTATTCAGTCACAGGCTCCTCAAACTGTGAGGAGAATTTTCATGTAAACAGTAGCGAAAATTGAAGATTTCTATTGGTAAGTTTGTGCAGTAGTATTCTGTAGCATATGCAGTAGCATACTGTAAAACGATTCATAAATGGTAGGTACATCTTATCATAGACTTGATGACCATTAACCTAGTTATGGAAAACAATTATAAGAATACATTATGCAAGAAATAGAATGAATAGATGTAAAGGACATGGGTAGCCACCACAAGAGGGAAAGCAGCTAAAGCAACACTGTTCCATGGTCAGTTCTGCCTCAGCTGTGCTAAGAACAAAAGCTAGAAGTCAGTAGCAGTACATTGGCAAGCACACTGGACAGAACTGAGGGGTTCTTTGTTCATGGTCATAACAAACACAAGTCCAAATGCTTCTGTGTGATCACAAAGCTTAGCATTTTAACACTAAATAATGACAGGACTTAATTTTGAAATGTGAGATAGAATCTTCCTCAAGCCTTTAGGTTGGTATCCAGCAAAGCTATCGGTGCCGTCTGTATCTCAGTCATCGGTAGGTGTATTAATGTAAGGCTAATTGCAGCTGAGCTGTGGGTATTTCTAGATGATAGAACATTAAGATGGTCAGTTCCCAAGCTGTACATTGTCAGAAAAATCACTGATGTTTGCACTGATTGTGACATGGATAAACCAATGCATTTCTGAAATCAGAGGTTATTGCAGGAAAGGCCTACCTCACTTTTTCCTGTTAATGCAGTTTACAAGTACACAGAATAAAATACAAGAAAAAGAGAAAAAAACTGGCAAGAGCATATGGTTGGGATCATCCTCTGTAAGAAAAGAGACTAGAAATTCTCTCCATTCTAGCTTTCAGCACCTCCCTTATGCCTTACTAATACACATGGGTATTTTGTTGTTGTTTTGTTACTATGCCCTAGTAAATGACGATTCAGCTCATCGGTGTACAAACCAACACTTCCAAAATGTCAGGGCTTTGCACACTTAATATGTTACAAGCCAGAATGTTTAAATCTCATACCAGGTGGCAACATAAACTGGAAAACTATTTAAAGAGAAGTAATCAGGACATTATCTGTAGATACTTCATGGTAGCAGCTGACATCAGCATATTTCTTTAAAAGCCTTTAGATTTTGAAAGGAGAATTATTTCCATATCTACTGATTACACATCAAGAATAGTGTTAAGAATTCTATTCCTGAAGCATTTTAAGTTGTCTTAACCTGAATCCAGGATGCAGCATGTTTGTTAAAGCAAAACAAAACAAACACAAAAAAAACACAAAAAAAAAGTGGGAGTGGGGGAGTGCAGGGGCCAGGGGAAAGTATCATTATAGCAATTGGTAGGAGTTAGAAAGGAGGGAGTGAATTCACAGATAAAAAAACTTTACATTAAAAATTTAAAAGTATTATTAGTATTCCTTATAGATTTAAACATTACAGTAATTTAATAATGTTGGTCATTAAACTGGATATACAGTAGAAAACTGTCTATAAAAAAAATTACTTATTGGGGGTTTGTTTTCTTGTTTGTTTTTACTTATGAGACAATGATGCCATTATCAATAGAAACATGTCAGAAGGTAGTCCAGCAGTATTCCAAGCTCTGATCTCCACTGATTCTCCCAGGTTATTTGTTCAGGAAAAATCGTCAGAACAAAGAATGTCTTTTGTTTTACACAGCAATACTCATTCTCTAGTTTGCATCTAAATAAGAAGAAAACAAATATTAAATGAAGTTCTGTCTATTCACAAAACTTTCAAACTAATTAAAATGTATTTTTCAACCCATTTCCCATAACAGTTGGGAAAATCACAATCTCCAAATGAAAAGAAACTCATTCTTCTGTATTAAATCTCTAAACATGCCTTTGTATATTTGAAATATATTTCAATATTTGAAATATAAGTAAATTTCTATATTTGAAATATAAATAAATTTCTATATTTGAAATATAAGTTTATTTATTCAGAGCCTTGGCATGATTTTATTTACCCTTTCAGCAGGAGTCTTCTATGCTATGAAATCAGTGTAGGACAAATGCATATGTTCTATTGGAAAAAAATAGCTTCATTATTTAACCCTCAGGACACACATAATTTGCATTTGTCAGGACTTGACCAAATTTAACAACAAACATTTCAATAGCTTTTCGTAATTCTCTTTATCATCTAACTCACTACAGTTGTGTAGACTATAGGTTTTGTATGATATGTAATAATAATGAAGACACACACCTTGAAATATGTAAATCAAGAAGCATATTTCACTAGGAAGAATGCTTCCAAAGAAGGAAAATTTATGGAAATAGCATATTGATATGAAAGGCACAATCTTGTATGAAAGCTATGTACAAGGTCAGAGAAATATGCTGTAGTATTCTAAACTAAAATTTAGCTGTCAAAGCCTTACAGCAAAAAAAACCAAAAACTGAGACAAAAATGCAACATCAAAGGAAGTGGTCTAGAGACATCAACAGAGGGGGTTAATGAAGGATTCATCAGTTTGCATAAACCAAGTTGATATTCCAAAAGCTATTATAACTTTTTCTCTTAGGAAAACTGCAGGGGAAAAGAAATACAGCAGCAGATGAAACAAAGAACTGCACAAAAGTGTTTATGCTATCCAACAAATTCTGGTGGAGATATCTACGTAGTACGTGCGTGCACAATCACGAGAGTAAGGAAAAGCAACCAGGAATCCATACCTACTCTTGCACAGAGAAACAAACTACACAGTCAGAGAGAATGAAAGTACACTAAACTTTTCAGGTGAAACTACTCTGCATCCATTTTTTGTGAAGAGTCATGTGGATGTCTCTGCCCTCTATGGATATCATTTGCATCTGTAGCTACACTTGCCCAGAATACGGTTCAGCTCCCTTTAAGATGTTTCACCACAAGTATTCCTGCCTGCCCAGGCACAATGTTGTACACAATTCAGGTTGTGACCATAAAAGAGAACACTGAAAATTATGTACTTTGGAATTCTATTTGGAACTGCAGACTATCTACTTACGCTATAAATAATCTTGCCGTAAACTCTCAGTCTGTAAAGTTTTAAAATAATAACATCCCAACATGGACATTTTTAAGAAAATAATTGTTTGAAAGAACAGTAGAAAATAAAGAAAAATGGCCAAAATAAGTATATTGAAGGAAAAAGGGAAATAAGGATAATATCTAAATTCTATGTTGAAATGACAGACATTGATTTTTTTTCTCTCTCATTTTCTAGCAATTTTTGATACCCTGGACCCGATTTTCAAAATAAATGGACATCAAATTCTTCAGCTGAATTCAGTGGCAGGTTTTGATGTTCAAAAATGCTCAAAGTCAGGGTAATTTTGACATCCAAAATTTCTTACATATCAAATCATCTGCCATGTAAAAATCTTTTTGTATTCTGAATTTCTGTTTATTTCACTAAGAGTTACAGGCACAAATCATAGAATCATAGAAAGGCTTGGGTTAGAAGGGACCTTAAAGATCATCTGGTTCCAATCCCTCTGCCATGGGTAGGGACACCTTTGACCAGACCAGGTTGCTCAGAGCCACATCCAGCCTGGCCTTGAACACTTACAGGGGTGGGGCAATAACAGAGCTTTTGCTGTTATTGAACTACTGTTGCTTTAAGGAAGAAAAGTTCCACTTATGAATTCTGTGCAAGCATAATTTAAAAATATAAAAATTATATTAGAAGAAAAATTAATGAAATTTAGATTATTAAAAAAAAAAAAAGGGGGACAAAATCACTTGTGTGGATGTAAGAGCTGGATGTAAGAGCTCCTAGGTAAGGTTCCATTCCTGATAAAATAAGTGTATGTCCAGTCAAATTGATGTACTGCCTTCCCAGCTCCAAAGCAGTCTCATGCCAGTGAGTTTTCTCATCCCCAAGGCCACCAATCAATTGTTCTGTTCATTGTAGTTTTTTGCTGCATAAGTCAACCTCAGAATGGAAAAAAACTCTGATTATATATATGATCACTTTAGAGACGTTTTACAAATAATAAAAATATTCAAAGATTATTTTCCTTTGTTTTTCTTAAGTAATTTCATCAAATAAAAAGAAAACATGGAAACATTTAAAGAACAAAAACTATTATCAGGACCAGCACAGCAAAGTCTATTCAGTTACATTGTCATCCAAATAAAGGAAGAAAACTGTGCAATAAATAAAGGAAATAAAAACATGCAATTCAAAATAGCTCTGTATACAATACAGAAAATATTAACAGTCAAGGAAATTATCTACATGTTCTAAGAGAAACAAAAACACTTGGAAAAAAAACCCAAAAACATTGTCTCATGGAAGTAGTTACATTCTTTTCTGCAAAAAAAATCCTTGTGAATCCATAACTGGCATTTTTGCCATCAGTTTTTAAACAAGCCATCTTTCCAGTTAGGTTTATAATCTAACAAAAAATGTATTTTAACAGGAATTTAATCCATCTCTGTTCGAATTCTTTACTATCTAGTACAGACACATTTCAGACATAGGATAGGAGGAAAATGATGACACCTCTTGCTGCGGTTACAATCCTCTCTTCTGGTAACCATAGCAGCCAATTTACACCACAGTAACAAACTGCCTGTGTAGTTTATCCCTCCCCTCTACTTCCAAACTGTATCAGAATGCAGAAGAAACACACAAAGAGCTGACTAACTACAGACAAGACTTAAGACTCCATTTCAAATTCCAATTCTATTTATTTAAAGAAAGCTGAAGATGATGTACTGCAAATCTTAAAAAAAAAATAAAATAAAATCTTCTTCCAAATGTTGCCAATTTTTGCACACTTAAGCACCTAATTACCAGTCAGGAACAGGGCTTACCAAAAACAACCTCAAAATTGCATTAGCACAGAAGGCGTAAATAAACTTGAAAATCTTTTAATGTGCTAACTTGCAAGTTAATAGATGAATCCAAGCATTTAGTAAAATCATTGAAAATTTATCTCCTCACAAGAAAGCAGATATGAGTGAGGATGTAGGAGAGGGACATCAGTTGGTAAATTAATAACATATACATTTTCTATTACTCTAAAGCATTTATTTTTCACGCTTTGCCCACTTACAACTTTAGGACCATTACACCAAAATAAAAAGATGGTTATCTAAAAGTAGGACTTGTTCCACATATTGGCAGTTTAAAGGGAAAATACCATTTGACAGAGAAATAAATTTTACAATAACTTTTCTGGGTATCAGTAGAACAATAGTTCACCTTTTGTATCATATACCTGATTGCCAAGTCAGCCTTCTCTTTTCTTCTTGGATTCCCGTGTTTGCTGGAGTACAGCAATTTATCTTGAACCTCCATGAGGTCTGCTTCTTTCTTTCTCAGATCAATAGCAATCTTTAATTTTCCTTCATCTTGATTCAACTTTAGCTTTTTGGATGCAACATTTTTGTCACTCTAGATAAAGTCAAAGAATAAATTAAACATCTGAAAGATAGACCTTTCACTCCACGGTTATTATTTTAGAAAAAAAAAACACCAAAGAAAGATGAAGGGAAACCTCAGCAACTCAGTAGCTCATGCAATATTCCGTTTCATAACTTGTCATCTGAAGACAATTGGTTTTTACCTTATCACTTGTTTCTGTGTTGATATTGACTGATTTATGCAGTTTCTACAATTTTTTACTGTAATAGCAAGTAATGATTCAAAGCAAAGAAGGGTTATGCTTCCACACTGTGTCTAGGTTGATCATAGTTTATAATCCATTATGGATTTGTGCCATAAGAAACACACAAATAATAATAGATATTAAGTAACACTTACAGAGACTGTACACACACATTCAGCCAACTATGTACACAAAATAAAAGGAAAAATTAGCAGCTTTTCACATCCAAGGATCTATTTTCTAGTTCTGAGGATTTCACGCTTTTATACAGATATTTGTGCGAGGAGAATATTGGAAGTCACATGTAACTGAAAACATATTGTTCATCTTTCCAAAAACAAGCATGAAAATAAGCTGGAATGTCCCTATGCCCAACTGAAACAGAATTTGACAAGTATTAGCCTCATCATTCATTAATCCCCTCTCATTTTGATGTGAGTTGCAGATCTCCTTTAAAGTCCACCATTTTAAACAATTTTTTACCAGTTGGTACTTGTAATGTTAATAGTTGTTCTGAAATTGAGAAGTCTACCAAATATGCATTTACTAATTTTTTAGCTGAGTAACAAAACACTGATTTTTTAGCTGAGTAGCTGCCTGCCATGATTCAGTTCTCAAATGGCACACTGACCTTAGTTGCCCAGTGCTGATTTACTGCTGAATGTGAGCTCCAGATGTTTCAAATTAGGAAACAACATAAAAAGTAACCACGCTTTTTCAGTTTGTCAAACACAATGCATAACAAAAAGTACCTTTGGGCTTGATATGACTACCAGAAGCTTCCAAAGACATTTAAATAATGTCCCAATTTTGTATACCACTCCAAAAAGAAATTAACTTCATTTGCTAACTGAACAGATTTTTGCTTCCATGCCTTCTTAGAAAAATTCAGAACTGAGAATCAGCCTCTACACCTTAACATCAGGTATCTTTTATGAATTAATCTTAGTTACTGCTTGTTTGTGCAAGTACACCACTAATAAGAAGTAATTTCATCTCTCTTTTGGTGTAAAATTACACTGATAGATTGATCCCTTTAATCAAATGCATTTTAATTTTTTTTTAATACATATTTACTTAGTTATGTGAGTATGTATTAATGGTCATGGCTATGACCCATTTGCCAAAAAAATCCACACCCATAACTCAATACCACTTCCCAAGTTCTGAGAGGCCCAATGCTGTTAGAAACAACTGCATGGCAGACTCATGATTGCTCTGAGGCACTTGTTTCAATACAACCCAAATTAAAAAAAAAAAAATACAGATTAATAGATACTAAAGTATCAAACAGAAAGACCAGTTTTAAACTGTTAATTAAAAAAGATCCTACTAACCATATTGCTGAGTAAAACTGTCTTGTCTAGCAATTTAGAAAGTTAATGGACTTTCTAAAAGGTAAACAGAAGCAATAGTGACCAATAGCTGTAGTTATGGTCTATCTGATTACTCTGGTAATGTATGAGCCCTACACATAATTAATTTTTTTTATTTCATGTGCAATGTCTTTTGTATTATGGGAAATCTTGTCCTGATGGCTGTAAAATATTGTATCCTACCACTATCCAGTAAAAATATTGTTATTTTTCCAATAACTATAATGCACAAATAAAATACTACTGACAGTAAATCAGATTAAAATCTCTAACTGAAAATTTCATCCCTATAACATTCTTAATCCTGCAGAATCACGAAGCCAAAATACAGTCTTTGAGAGAAAAAATTCTGCCTGTAACACTCCCTGCAAATTCAGCAAATGTACTGAGACTCAGCAGTGATGAAAAAAAGTAATTTTAATTAAAAACTGTTTATGTCTGGCTACCGGCCATTCTAGTTAGCAATCCATGAAATGATTGTTACAGGTATTCTCTTATCAGCAGAAATTCTCACAGTAGCGTAACCATTCTCTGCATGAGCAAGGAAGCAGAAATTGAAAAACTGAGCAGAAATTACCTTCTAATAGGATTGAGAGGTATCACTTAACTTCCAGTAGCACCTAAGCTGACTTAACCATTCAAAGTCACTCTCGTCTTTGACTTTTTTGCTTACTGGAGACGCAAGAACATTCCTAGCATGAACATCAAGCACAACAAGTGCTCCTGGAGTCATTCGATTCTGCTTAGACAGCTTTCCTCGCACCAAGGTGGCAATGTCCTCAACCTATTATTCTGTTCCAGAAAATCCTCTAGTGCCTGCAAAAATTTTTAGAAGTTAAGAAGTTGAATGTCTGATCTAAGGCATGATTATTTTTTCTTATACTTCTTATTATATTATTTTTATTTCTCTGTATTAAAAAGTTCCATCTCGGTATAATAGTAGTACAATGTCCTTCATTCACTGGTAGCTCAGTAGGGTTTTGTGTTTGGGATGCTTTTTTCCTACTTTTCCGAAGCCATATGTAAAACATCAATGACACAAAACTGCAAACAAAGCAACATATACTACTTTATTCCTGCAACACAGGAAATAGTCCTTACCTTTTTACATCATTTCACATTAAGAAAAGGAAAATATCACATTGTGTTTTAAAGGTCTAGTTATATGTGTGCAATATATTTTCTCTGGTTAAGGGTCACTGTCACAGTAGAAAAACAGCTTTATGTCCCACAACAGTTAGAAACAATAACAAACCTACAATTCAAAAAAGTTAACAGGAAAATGCATTTTTCTATAATTTCTCAGTGTATTGACTTTTGGCTATAGTCTGTGTTCAGTTAGCCTAGTTATTTCTTTTACACAATAATTAATAGTTCCTTTCATGATAATAAGTTGCTGGTAAACAGGAAAGGCCCAATTAAGGAAAGCACTTGTATCATGACAGTCCTTA